AATACTTCTGAAAGAAAGCGGCGGTGGGGGGGGTCTCTTTTCCTTTTTGCACCAGGGAAAACTAATTTTTCTTTCTCTATTTGTATTTACCCTTTCAGGGGTGACTGCAGGGAGGAAGTGGTGTGTCCTGTCAAATGCTACAAAACAGTAGCCTGAGGAGCGCCTGGCAGGATGTGGTGACCTTGGTAAAAGCAACTCTGGTGGAAGGGGAAGATGGAGAGACGGACAGGTGAGTGGAAGGAAGAAATGTATCCAGAGAATGGAAGATGCTTGTCTGAGAAGACAACAGGCAGGATAAGGAATGCAAGACCAACAAAGTGATTTTTTTTTTCAATGAGTGGCTTCAGAGGATGTGTAAGATGGGGATACAGCCAATGCAGATGGGGGAGTAGAAGGCTGGCAGGATACAGGCTGCCTCAGCCACCGTTACCCCAAGAAGCACCATCTTGGGGGAATCTCTTGGAGGAATGGCCATTTTAGGTTCTATAAAGTTCAAGTCTACAGAAAAAATAACAGTGAAGATTTAGGTTCAGGGTCAGGGTTCAGCCAGGTCAGGGTCAGGAATTGGTTATGAGAAGATATTCATGGTCAGAATGTGGGTTTGGATGGGATGAGAGCTTGTGATTCTGGGGTCAGATTAGAGGTCAATGTCCAGAACACAGAGACCAATCTTCAGACACTATAAACCTGAACTTCACTCCATGTCTTCCTACTGTCTATTTCTCCTTCTCCATTCTGTAAGTTTCTTTTGCTCCCATATTTCATTTTTCTTTCTCCCTCTTCCTCTCTTTCCACCTCTCTCTTCTCCTTAAGCATGAGGAAGACAAGAAAGGGGTAAAGAAAAATTATCTCCCTCACCCTTATTTTTGCAACTCATGCCTGCAGAATTTAAACAGCTTTAAAAGTTGGTTCTTTGTTGATTGAAATTGACTTTAGACCCAACACTAATAATTTAGAAATCAAATGAGCATAATTTGGCTCAAGTCTCTTCAAATAAGTAAAATCTAAATTCCAATTCCTTTGTCTTCTGGAGTAGCCCACAGTTGATTTTTTTTTTTTTCTTTTTGCAATGGATCAGTTACTTGTATTCGATTTTTAAAATCTTGTGACTGGTCTCATAAATATAATGGGGCAAAAACCTTACTTCCTGTAAGGAAATCAGGCTTGACTAATCCTCATGCTGGCACTAAAAGAAGGAGAATTGCATGTTTGTAAGTGCAGATACATTTGAATATCAAAATAGTAGGGACAGTAAGTGATAGGTCATAGAGGAAATAGTCATAACTTATAAAAAGGCCAAACCATTAAAAACACAAAAGAATTATGCTAGAAATTAACCCTAGCCTTTTCCCACCAAAGTCTTCCAGTTGGAAATATCAAAATCTAAAATGACTCCTGGGTGATTATAGTTAGAAATTAATGAGAGTAAGAGCGTCTGTTTCAAACCCAGAACACTTTTTATGGAGTATTTTACAATCTCCAATAGAAGAATCACAGTGCAGAACTCCAGGTTTTGGAGAAAATCCATGTCTCCCTATGCAGATACTGATTTGGAAAGGGACTCCTGGCTTGTCACTGGGCCCGGGCGGAATCTGGATGCCAGGTGCCCTGGACTAAATGTGTGTGTCCCATCCCACAATATGTATGTTGTAGTTATTTATTTATTTATTTATTGAGTGCGTGAGTGACTGGGGGGAGAGGCAGAGGGAGAAGGAGAGAGAGAGAGAGAGAGAGAGAATCTCAAGCAGGCTCCATGCTCAGTGTGGAGCTTGACATGGGGCTCAATCTCACAACCCTGGGATCATGCCCTAAGGTGAAATCAAGGTCAGATGCCTAACCAACTGAGCAACCCATGCACCCCAAGGTGGTAACATTCTAATGAAAATCTCAGGCCTAAGAACCAGGGAGCCAGTGGTATAAATCCCAGTCCAAATCTGAAAGCCAGAAGAGAATGGGAGGGCTGATATCCGAGGGCAGGAGAAGACAGATGTCTGATCTCAAGCAGAGAGCAAATCCCTGCTTCCTCCACCTTTTTGTTCTATTTAGGACCTCAGTGGATTGGAAGAGGCCCACTTGACTGGTGTGGGCCATCTTTGCTCAGCCCACCAATTCAAATGCTATTCTTTTCTGGAAACAGCCTTGCAAAAACACCCAGAAATAATGTTTTACTAGCTATGTGGGCATCCCTGAGGATAAAATCAACCATCACAGCACCCTTATAGGAAGCAGCCAGAGCTGCTCAGTTTTCCTTCAGCCACGTGAAGACACAGTGAGAAGTCTGCCATCTGCAGCCCACAAGAGGGCATCCTGATCTTGGACTCCCAGCCTCCAAAACTGTGAGAAATAAACTTCAGTTATTGATAAGCCATGGTATCTTGTTGTAGAAGGCCAAACTGACAAAGTCACCTGGCCACAAACACCAAGGGCATTGTGACCTGAACTGCACGTCACATGCTGGGTGCAAACTACCAAACCATGACATTGGGTGTGCACAGCAGCATCCGTCATCCACGGAAAAGATGTGTATGGGATTAGATTCAAGTGGGGATGGAAGGTACAGGCGTACACCTCAGCAGATGGCTCAGATGCCCACGGTACCTGCTCCTGATGCATCTCCCTTCACCTACACCTACGGACTCATGGATATTCCCTGTGATCTGTTTACAGAGAAGGGGAACAACAGACCAGGTGTATGGACGGATCTGTATGATGGGCTGGCACCAGGCAATAGGTAGATGCTGGGTTAGCATTGCACCCATGTGGCCTTGAAAGAGTGATGTAGGGAAGTCCTTCAGGTGGTGAAACTTCAGGGGTCCACCTTGTGGGAGAGAGGGATGTCCTTAGGTCCACTTATGCATGGATCCACATGAGCCACCTGATCAAGGACTTGGAAAGAATAAAAGTATAAAGAGAAAAAAAGAAAAGAATAAAAGTATAAAATGAAGACAGGGAGGATATGTGGAGGTCCTCTGGGGGTGGGCACAGAGTGTGAAGATGTTCATGACCCATGCTGATGCCCACCAGAACAAAGGCACTGAGGAATGGCCATGTGGGCAGGTGTGGAAGCTCCACATGGTTACAACAAATAGGCTAGCTCTCCGCAAGGCCGACCTGGCTGTTGACAGTACTCAGTGCCCAAACCAACAGAGGCAGAGGCCAATGACGTTCTACAGCAGGACTACCCAAGACATGCCCCGTCATGGAGAGGACTGAGCTTTATCCTCACAGGGGGATAGACACATACCGTGGGTTCCCATTTGCCTTCCTTGTACACCCAATGCTTCCTTCAACACTGCCGTTTGGGAACTTAGAAAATGTCTTTTCTAGTGCTGTGGTATCCCATGAGGTAGTGAGGTCATTAACTCACAGCCACGGAGCTCACTGATCTTCCCAGTGCCCCATTTACACAGAGACAGTTGGCTTATCAGAGTGATAGAGTGGCCCATGAAGGCTTATGAGGGCACCGGGCGAGAGACGGTACCCTGGCATCCATCGGGAATGTACATCTCAGACCAGCGGTCAGTCTATTGTGCTCCATCCCCCACAGCCAGAAGGCAGGAGTCCATGAGACAAGAGCAGAATAAGAGAGAGCCGCTACCACTACTGCATACTCCCAGGGACCACCCACTTAAAGAATTCTTGCTGCTAGTCTGTAGCCTTGGGATTGGTGTGGGTGAGGAACCCATCGCAGCTCTAATCAACTGGAAGCCATGTCCACAGCCCAGCCGTTTTGTGCTTCCCCACGAGGCAAAGAGGAGGGGCATTCTGCTGATCACCAGATGGAACGTGACTGCCAGAGGGAGGTTGGGTCGCTGGGTCAGGGAGGACTGTGTTTGGCAGCCAGGTGACACGTGAGGGGTACATCTTCCTATTTCCATGGCCAGTGGCCCTGCTCCGTGGAAAACTGCAGACACTCAATAAAGATCATCAAACACCCAAACCTCCTAAGAATGAAGACTTATGCCCCACGACAATTGCTTAAACTAGGTGTTGGCAGGTAGTAAGCCGATACGGAATGGGTGGGGGAAGAAGGAGCATCCTTCCGCACACAGGACCTTTGCAGCTTTGTTTTTACTTTATTTCCTGGCCCCCGTCTGCCTCTCACCATGGCATATGAAGAACTGGCTATCGCCGTGGGCGTACAACTCATTGTCACCAGCACACCATGTTGCTGTGATTACATAATGGGTGGGAATGGTGTGTCCTCTGTACTGAGGACTCTGGTTTTCATCCGGACAAGGAGAAGGCATGGATGTGAGGAGGCAGAGCATGGACCGGGCCGGACACTTGGTTTCCTTCTCCCCCTGCTCTGTGCTGTGGGTGCATATCTATGGGGCTGCATCGCAGGAATGCCTGTCCTCCAGCTGGGTTCAGTCAAGAGGAGCCCCAACAGGAGACCAGAGGAAGGACACTGAGTAAAGCCGGGGTGCTCATTCCCCAGCTCTCTCCCTACGGTGTGGGCTGGGTGGCTTTTTCAGCCTAAGGTCAGAGCATGTAGCAGGCAGCCCTCTGAAAACCTCCCCCACATACCCTTCCCCCTACAGATTCCAATAATGGTAGACTTCTCCCCCTTCTCGGGCCTAGGATGGCTACAGAGACCCAAGGAGATCAGCCTCAGGAAACTGCACAAACCTTCTATGTCAAGTTTCTCAGGTAGGATGAATCCCTCTTTGTGCTGGGGCCCTGCCTGCTAAGAGGGTAACACCACCTCCCCCAGGTCATGGTGGTGCACACCTACCTTTGACCCGAGCATCCTGAAGGCTCTGCTACCCTCCACGCTGGAATGGGGACATGCACCAGAACAGTGAAGGAAGGTCCTGAGATGGTGAATCTCTCACCGGGCTCCTCCCCTCCCCAGCCAGATCTCTGCGTGTCCTGCCCACCCCCTCCAAACACACACACAGAGAAATCCCATCATTCAGGGAAAGGACGATGTCTTTATTACCAGACACATGTGGCCACTCTTGACCTCTCCCAGAGGTCAATTTCAGCTTTCCCCAGCTGCTTCTATATGTTGTTATCAGGCCATGAGGTATGTGGGTGTGCTGAGGGATGATGATTCACGGAGAGGACAAGGAAATAATTCAGTGTCCAAGGCTGTTTGGTTATGAGGTCAGAAGGAAGGTTGGTTTAGGGGGTCAGCAAGGAGTTAAGAATCATAGGGGAATGGGGTCAGCAGAGAGGCATCCCACACCAGAGGGCTAGGGATAGTCCAAGCCCCACCACCCAAGCCAGTAAGGGCACGGGGGCTGCTCCAGCTTGGAGAATAACATCCAGCTTTTCCTCAGGGTTCTCAGTCACAGAGAAGACCCCAATTTTCCGGACATGGTTCAACAAGGAGCTGGAAGCTTGGGTCACGCAGCCCTGAACGTTCAATTCAGACTGTATCCCACCTACAGAGTGAGTCAGAGAGGTTTCAAAAGACAGCACACTTAAAGTCCCAAGACCCAAGAATCCCAGATCCCCCCGGCCCCCTCAGACCGGGAGACCGCGCTTAGTCGTCTCCTCCCTCAGACCTAGAAATCTGAGTTTCCAGGCCCCCCACCCTCAAACCCTTGAGTCAGGGCCTCAAGTACCCTCCCACCTCAGAACCACTGAATCCAGGCCCCCAACCCTGCATTCCTGGGGCCCGGCCCTCAGCACTTACCCTCCTGGATCTGAATGTAACCACTGTAACACTGAGTGGTGCCACTGGGACACATAACATTTTGGGGGTTTTCTGGGCAGGATCCAAAGATGTTCACACAGACGGGACACTGCAAATTTCCCAGGGCAGGGGCAGCTGAAAAGTAGAGAGAAGGTTGGGGTGCACAGCTCGGCCCCTAGCTGGAACCATGCTCCTCGATCCCCGGAGTCTCTGTGTCTCCCCATCTCAGGGTGTCCCCGGTCCCACCCAACCTGCTGGGCTTCCATACCCGGACGAGGGAGAGAGTTCAGCAGGACGCTGGTATTGCTGGCCCTGTTGCACCTGTTGAAGGGGCAGAAATGGGCACAGGAGGCCACCAGCACTCCAGGGGCTCCCGAGTGTACGGTGAGGTAGAGGTATCCTGCCTCTTGCCCTTGCTGCAGCCTTTGCTTCCTCCTATGATTGATTTGTGTCCTGGGGGGAAGGGGCGAGAGAGCAAAAGCTGGGCTGGGGGAGTGGGGCTCTGATGACCAAAGGCAGGAGGCAGAGCCAGGGGGGCTCCCTGACGCTCAGCAGGCAGGCAGAGGGTGAGTGCAGGTGCCTGAGTTCTAGAGCCCGGGGCACACCGAGGGCAGGGGGAAGGCGGGGGCCAGGGCCAGCTCTGCCGTCCTTCAGTTCTTCCTCAAACGCCGCCTGCTCAGGACAGCCTCCCCGGAGCGCCCGCTTTCACGCGGGAACCTTCACGTAACTCCCTACCTCCTTTCCCCACGGGGTTGCTCTTATCCTCACATCCGTATCTTTACTCTGTTTTGTGTTTGTGGTTTGTTTTTTCGTCCCCACTGGCGTGTAAAGCCTGAGGAAGGAGGATGGAGGGGTCCACAGTGCCCCACAACAGCTGCCTGGCACACGGCGGGGGCTCAAGAAATCTCCAACGAACTCGGTGAGCTTACCCTGTGCTGGCTCTGTTCTTGCCCAGCGCCCCCACCCCGCACGGACCGTGACAACCCCCCAGCAAGGGAGGTGGTATCACTGCTGTCATTTCTCCCTGTTTCCAGAAGGGCGAACTAAGGCCCAGAAGAAGGAAGGCCTGAGCTTAGAACTTGAGGCATGAGGGGAACCCGGCAGGAAATTCAGGGGACAGGACCCAGGGTGGGGACGCTCGGGACCCTGAGTGCAGCCCACGTACCTACATCGACGAGCAGAAGTGTCTCCTGACACACCTCCCCAACGTTACAAAGCTCGTAGTGATCTGTGGTCCACCTGAGGGGCGTCTGAGACAGGTTTTGATTGCTGTACAACATGACCCCCTGTTGACAGGTCAGACTAACTGGGGAGAAGGAGTTGCTGTGTAAGGGTCTGTGTAAGCCAGGGAATCAGCCATGGCCGTCCCTCCAGGTCCCATGCTTGGGAAGGTGGCCACATTCTTGGGTCATTCTCCAGGTGACCCGGCCACAGAGTCTCTCAATATCAGATTTAGAAGGGACCTTGGAAGTCGGGGTCCCATTCACATTCTTTAACCTTTTTTTTTTTTTTTAAGATTTTATTTGACAGAGAGAAACACAGCAAGAGAGGGAGCACAAGCAGGGGAAGTGGGAGAGGGAGAAGCAGGCTTCCCGCCGAGCAAGGAGCCCGATGCAGGGCTCGATCCCAGGACACTGGGATCATGACCTGAGCCAAAGGCAGACGCTTAACGACTGAGCCACCCAGGCGCCCCATCTTTACCCTGTTTTTGCCTGAACACCTGCGGAAGCCTTTCTCAAGGGTCCTTGAGGAAGGCCCCTCCTCCCTTTGGGTGTGACAGGCACCATGGCTCTTCCTTGGCCTACGTCAAACTCTACTTGCCCTCTCTGGTGCTCGGGGCCCTCATCTGGATGAGGAGGGTAGCCTGCCACTATATGTATGTGTATATATATAAAGATTTATTTATTTATTTGAGAGAGAGAAAGGGGGGAGGGGCAGAGGGAGAGCGAGAGAAAGAAACCCAAGCAGACCCACAGCTGAGCGTGGAGCCCAACGTGGGGCTGGATCCCACAACCCTGAGATCACGACCCAAGCCGAAGCCAAGAGCTGGACGTTCAACCCACTGCACCCTCCGGGCGCCCGCACCATATATTTCTTTCCAGACCGAAATGCTCAGAAGCCTAGTGTGCACTGAGCGTCTACCACGTGCTAGGCTGTGGCAGTTGCTGTGCATGGACCAGCCCACGAGTCTCACAGGGAGCTCCCCTCGCCCGGATTACCTCATTTCCTCACGGCAACCTCCAGTGTAGATGGCTTAATCATCATCATCCCAACATCAAGTTGGGAAACAGAGGCAGAGGACTTGTGCAGGAGGCGCAGAAGCTTGCCCCATGTCCCAACCCAGGTGACTGGCAGAGCTGAGCTCAGAACGCAGGTGTTCCGGCTCCTTGGGGCAGGTGCCGACCATCCTCGGCCACCTCCAGCCCTCCGAGCCCTCGGGAAAACCACGAGTCTAAACCTTCTCTTTAGACCTCACATGGCCAGCAGGGATGGGTCCCTCGATGCAGAAGCACCCGGGCTGGGGAGGAGGCATCCACAAACGTGGCACCTTCACCACGGCCCCTCGAGGGAGGCCTGCTCATCTCCCAGCTACGCAGATGACAAAACCGCCCTCTGCTGCCTGCTCTGAGCCTCATCCCACTCCCTCGCCCAGCCCCCAGCCCCCCGTTTCCCCATCTTGCTCAATGGCACCTCCTTTCTTGCAGCTGCACCAGGAAAATATTGCTGCCACTTTGGACAACTGCCTTTCTCTTAGGTTGCACCCATCAGGAAATCCTGTGGCTTCAGCCGCAAAATACCGCCAGGACCTTGTGGGCTTCTCACCAGCTCCACTGTTTCCCCCAGAGACCACTGGCCCTCACCTGCTTCGCCCCGATTTCCCGGCCCCACCCCCAGCAGCCATGGGGGAATCCTCATAAGGGGGTAAGTCCATTCATGGCCCTCCTCTGCTCGGAAGACTCCAAAAGGTCCCCATCCCTCTCAGCATAAAATCCCTAGTCCTTAAACTCTGCCGCCAAAGGCCCAGGGATCTGGTCTTAATAACCATTCAGATCGCTCGCGTCTCCTCCCTGTGTCCCCCACCCCTGCGGGGCTTCTTGCGAGCTGATACTCACCACCGGGGCCGCAGTCCTCGCTCATTTGGATGGGCCCGAGTTTCTGAATCCCGTTGAGCAGGTTGCAGCCTGCTTGGGACGTGCATCCTTGGACTCTCAGAACGCTGAAGCTATCCCCAGTGGACCGGGGCAGGGAGGGAGATGCTGCTAGGACCACCCCGCCCCCGGGGGAGCCGCCCTCCTCAGGTCCCAGCTTCTGTCCCTCACCAGAGAACCCGATCTTGGTCCTCAGACTCCTCCTCCTGCTGCTTTAGTGCCCCACATCCCATGGACCACAGGGGACCCCCTGTCCTGGCTCACCTTCCCTGAGCCCGATTGCCCCACGGTAGCAGTGCGTGCTCCCAGCTGGGCAGGTCGTTCTGTGGCAGACTCGCAGTGTTCTGTAGACAAGCAGACTGGACACCTCAGGGAGCCCGGGCCTGGGGAGGCGAGGAAAGGGCTCTGGATCTGATGGGGGCCTGCTCTCCACCGCCCCCCCACCCCACCCCGCCACTTTGCTGGTCCCAAGAAGCAACCTCCCCAGTCTCCCACAAACGCGCCCTCCTTGGCTCCTCTCTTGCAGGCACGCCAGGGCATCAGGGACAGGTGGCAAGGGAGAGAGCAAGGGCCAAGGGGTGGGGCAAGAACCCCGGAGGGGTCACCTGGGCCTGAGTACAGGAGGGGGCGCGGCGGGGGAGGATTCAGCCACAGGTTCCACAAAACAGTCCGAGCACACTAGAGCCCGGGGTTCACAAACTATTCCAAAGAGTAGAGAAACAGGAAACATTGCCCCAAACCTGATCTGGGGATACCAGACAAGAAGGGTGTGGTCCATGCCACTAATAATGTTGTGTGGTCACACAGAACTACATTGCTGGTGAGCAAAGCGCAACACAGAGCTGTGCAATCACTTTTGTATTCCTGACTAATGTCACACTGTGTGTCAACTAGGCTCAAGTTTAAAAAAAAATTTTTTTTTTTTAAGTTCCAGGCTAATTTCACTTTGGAAGAGGAACTGCCAAAACCCTAAATAAAACATGAGTGAATCAAATTCTAACTCGAAGAAGAAAAAGGAGGAGGAGGAGGAGGAGGAAGGAGCCTGCACTAGGTTAAGGCCAAGCCCGAGTCTAAGTGAGGTGGCTGAACACCAGGAAATCCCTGCGGTTTGCGGCTCCAGGACCAATAGAAGAAGGGGTGCTGAGGGAGGGAGCCCCAGAGAGAGCAGACAGGGAGTCGGGAGGGAGGAGGGATCCAAATGGTCGCTCCCTCTGTGCTCACTTCCACTCCTCAGCCCTGCTGCTCCCCTGCGCCCACCAGCCCCTTCCCTCCCCCCCTCCCCCCTCCCACCTGCAGTGGAGGGTAGGTTCCAGAGTGGGAGGTTGGTGGACAGACTGTTGCAGTTGTCCTTCTCCCGGCACACATGGGTGTAAGAGAGGACAGTGAGGCCAGGGCCTGCACTATGCTCCCTGATGAGGACATCCTGATCCGCCACTGAGGTGCAGCCCTTGTTGATCACCACGCTCACTCGGGGTCCTGCATCAAAAGAGAGTCAGGCCCTGGACTCCTGGGTCTGAGGGAGGAGGGGCTGGGGATCAGGCTTCTTGGGTCAGAGGGAGGAGGGGGCTGGGGGCCTGACCCCTGGGTCTGAGGGAGGAGGGGCTGGGGGCAGGACTCCTGGGTCTGAGGGAGGAGGGGCTGGAGGCCTGGACTCCTGGGTCTGAGGCAGGAGGGGGCTGGGGGCCTGGACTCCTGAGTCTGAGGGAGGAGGGGCTGGGGACCTGGACTTCTGGGTCTGAGGCAGGAGGGGGCTGGGGGCCTGGACTCCTGAGTCTGAGGGAGGAGGGGCTGAGGTCTGGACTCCTGGGTCTGAAGGAGGGAGCTGCAGGCTGGATCTTGGGTCTGAGGAAGAAAAGGCTGGGGGCCTAGACTCCTGGGTCTGAGGGAGGAAGGGCTGGGGGTCTGGACTCCTGGGTCTGAGGCAGGAGGGGCTGGGGGCCTGGACTCCTGGGTCTGAGGCAGGAGGGGCTGGGAGTCTGGACCCCTTGTGTGAGGGAGGAGGGGCTGGGCGTCTGGACTCCTGGGTCTGAGAGCCTTGACTCTTGGGTCTGAGGGAGGAAGGCTGGGGGCCTGGACTCCTGGGTCTGAGGGAGGAGGGGGCTGGTGGAATGACTCCTGGGTCTGAGGCAGGAGGGGCTTCCGAGTCCCTACACAGAGTACAGTAGGACTGGGCAGGAAAGAATGCTTCTCCTGTAGAGGGTGGGAGTCAGGCTTGGGGCCCACAGGGCCTTCCTCACCGTTTTCAATGAGGATCAGCGTATCTTGGCAACCCCAACCATCCTCACATAACTCCTGGCCAGTTGTCCACTCAAGGGGCAGTTCCGATACATTCCTCAGAGACTTATGTGTCCCCCGCTGACAGACCAGGGCCTGCACTCCTGAGATGGGAAGAGAAATCCATCTGAGCCCATCCTCCAGGAAAATGCCCTCCCAGGTCAGGGTCCTCACTCACGGGGCAGCATGAGGGTGGCACCCAGGAGAGCCAGCTGCAGGGCAGGGCTCATGGTCAGGGTGGCTGGAACTCTCCCTCCTGTTCTTTTTCTGGGTACCCCACCCTTTTATATCTTGCCAGGAAAGGGCGGGAGGGAGAGCACTGATAGAGGAGGTCTGAGTCTACCCTCTGAGTCTCACTGGATAAGAAATCCGGGTCTCCCCTCCTTCGCCGGACCCAGGAGTCCAGGCTCCCTGACCCCCCAACACTTAGAAACATCCCGGCCCCCAGGCCCCACTGGTCCAGCTCCCCAGCCCCCTTTCCTCCTGTGCCCCACCTGGCAGGTGCCCACCCCCACACTGTTTCAGGGTAGTTTGGGAAGGAGGTTTCCTCAGGGCAGCCTGGCCACCTTCTGGCCCCAGGTGAGGATGTTGGGGATATGGTCCAACTGCCTGTGAGGACACTGTGCAGTGGGGGCTGGTTACTCCCTACTCGAACCTCTGCCCACTCCTTTCTCTTTCTTACATTGCTTGCCTTTTTATTCCCATTTTCCCCGATGTTCCCTCCTGCTTTCTATTCCTCTGTTCTCCCCACTCCTGAAGCAAGAGGAGCTGGGGTTCCTTCCGTCTGGGGAGGAGAGAAGGGTAGGGGGTGGTTGTGGAAAGTGAGTTTCTGTCAAAGACAGGATATCCCTTGACAAAGCAGAGTTTCTTCCCTGGGATGTGCCAACAACCAGCTCTGTAGAGAAACAGCATCAGTGCAATGTGCCTTGTAACAGGGGCCTATTTCTGTGTATAAAACTCAGACTTTGAGCTACCGATCATTTAACAATCAGCTCGCAACATTCTGAAATGTTTAGCCAACGGCTTTTGCAAGCCTGTACAAACCAGCTCCAGCACGCTGGGGAGGAGAGGGCCAGGGAAGAATAGGAGCCTTGGCAGTGACCGCAGAGCCGACAAGTGGGTGTATGAGGAAGAGGAAGGTAGGGTGGGGTGATGGCAGCAGCAGAGGGGGGAGAGAGGTGAACGTGTACCTTATAATTCTAAGTCTCTTCTTGACATCTTTATACATTCTGTTTTATGTTTGCAAGTGTAACGTTGCCACGCGGGCAGAGACACGATTCCTACCGCATCTACACCACTCATGGGACACACAGTGAGTACTCAATATGTATTGATTGACTGAACAAACGAATGAAAGGTGGGGGAAGGTGGGAACAGAGTATTTGCGTAGGTCGTGCACCATGGGAACACTACTCCCTCCCCAACGAGTCCCCTTGTTGCCGTGGAAACGGTGCCCTCTGGAGATGTGTGCAACGTGGAGCAGTGTTTCTGGAAGGAGAGGAGAAGGAAGGATAGGCAAAGACACACAGAGGGTCATAGGTGGTCAGTGAAACGTCTTGCTTTTAGTCCACAAATATTCACTGAGGCTGGGCTCTGTGCCAGGCACCATCCCCATTGCTGGGGGACTCGGGAAGACCAACAAGAATGAGGCCCAGCTTTTGTTGAGCTCACACCCGAGTGAGAGAGAGAGACACTGAGCAAACATGTGAGTGTGTGCGCGCGCGCACACACACACGCATACACGCACAGGGTGCTGAGTGCTGGGCAGGGTGAAGACCAAGTGATGTGAAAGAAAGTGAGTGAACTGGATCAGGGCAGGCCTCCCGGAGGAGGTGAACTATGAGCTGAGAACAGAATGCAAAGAAAGAGTTTGTCATGGAGGGCATGTGGGAAAGGCATTCCAGCCAGAAGGAAGAGCAGGTGCAAAGGCCCTGAGGTGGGGCCACTCTTGGCTTATGTGAGGATTAGAAAGAAAGCAGGTGGTTCGGCTGCAGAGAAGGAAGGGGGAATCGATGGGTGCTGAGGGTAGAGAGGCTGGCAAGGGCTTGGCAATGCAGGCCTGAGTCAGGATATTAAGGCAACTTTCCTGGGAGTCCCACATATTTCAAGGGGCAAATGCAAGGCTGGGCGTGGAACTATTTAGCAAAAAGGCTTACAGTTGTAGGTGTGTGAAACTCTGCTACCAGGCCGGATCTTGTTGCTCCCTGATTGTGAGGCCTTGGGTCATTCATTTCCCCTCTCCCAACTGCCTCATCCTCTTCTGTAAAGTAAGGCTGATGATTATCGGCACCTCATGGGTTGCTCATGGACCCAGAAGCTCAAGAATGAGCAAAGAGGGGGCGCCTGGGTGGCTCAGTCATTAAGCGTCTGCCTTGGGCTCAGGTCATGTCCCAGGGTCCTGGGATCGAGCCCCGCATCGGGCTCCCTGCTCAGCGGGGAATCTGCTTCTCCCTGTCCCACTTCCCCTGCTTGTGTTCCCTCTCTCTCTGTGTCTCTCTCTGTCAAGTAATTAAAATCTTTAAAAAAAAAAAGAATGAGCGGGGAGGCTGGGTTCATTTGAGAAAGACCCTGCAATGCAACCACGGGTGTAGACAGTGACTCTTCCCCTATACCAGAAAAACTGGGGGCCACTGATCCGGGGGAGTTGGGCACTGGCCAAAGGCATAAATGCTCAGGCCTTGCAGGGATTCTTCGGATGATGGCTCTGGACAGACATGAACCGCTGCCATGAAGGAGGTCAGGGCTCCTGCACCGTCCTATAATATAGTTCAGGGGGACCTGGATCATCTGAGTTTCTAGAGAACATCACACTGCTCCACTTCATTGACAGATTTATGTTATTTACTCAGACACAGTGAACAAGAGGTAGCAAGCACCCTTGATGATTCAGGAGGAAGACATGTGTGTGCCAGAGGGTGGGCAATAAGCGCCCCCGCCATCATGTTGGTGTAAATCCTAGGGGCCCAGAGGTCCAGGGCATGTCCCCCAACAGTAGCCCCCCTGTATCAGCGGAAGAGACTTTCCAAAGCCCTCAGTGGACGTCTGAAACTGTGGGAATACCAAGCTCCATATGTACTATGTGCCTTTCCTGTCCATACATACGTATGATAAAATTCGATTTATAAATTAGAGGCAGTAAAAGATTAATCACAATGACTAATAATAAAATAGACCGATTATAAGATACTATAATACAAGTTGTGTGCATGTGGTCTCTCTCTCAAAGTATCTTATTGTGCTGGACTCACCCTTCTTTGTGTGATGACAGGAGATGATAAAATGCCCACCTGATGGGGTGAAGGGAGGGGAATGATGCAGACCCGGTGACCAGTGTTCAGCGAGTCCTGGTCTTCTGACCATATGTCCGAAGGGGGATCATCTGCTTCCAGACCACGGCTTACTACAGAGGTGGGGGAGGGGGTGCCGCTGTACTTCTTCTGAGACAATTTGCTACACCTTTAGAAAAAAGATCCCTTAAGATTTGGGGTGGGGAGGGGCGCCTGGGTGGCTCAGTTGGTTAAGCGACTGCCTTCGGCTCAGGTCATGATCCTGGAGTCCCGGGATCAAGTCCCGCATCGGGCTCCCTGCTCAGCAGGGAGTCTGCTTCTCCCTCTGACCCTCCCCCCTCTCATGCTTTCTATCTCATTTTCTCTCTCTCAAATAAATAAATAAATAAAATCTTTAAAAAAAAAAGATTTGGGGTGGGGAGGGGGGGCGGATGTAGCACATTTTGACATGCTACTCCTACTCATTTCTGAGCAAACCCACAAGACTGCCAGTTTGGGTTTTTTTTTTTTAAGATTTTATTTATTTGACAGAGAGCACAAGCAGGAGGAGCGGGAGAGGGAGAAGCAGGCTCCCAAGACGGCCAGTTTTGAGTAGATCCTAGAGTAGGAAGGGACTCGAATGAAAGGCATGTGACCCAACAGACCCAACGTCGTCAAAAGCTTCTGTGATATAAAGAGATAATAGGATAATCACAGTGAGAAACTCAGGGTTTGGAGCAAAGATACGTCTCCTTCTACAAATAACTGTCTTCCATTTAGAAAGCAGCTCCTGGGGCACCTGGGTGGCTCAGTCAGTTAAGCGTCTGCCTTCGGCTCAGGTCATGATCTCAGGGTCCTGGGATTGAGCCCTGCATTGGGCTCCTGCTCAGTGGGGAGCCTGCTTCTCACTCTTCCTCTGCCCCTGCCCCCGCTCATGCTCTCTCTCTCTCTGTCAAATAAATAAATAAATAAAATCTTGAAAGCAAGCAAGCAAGCAAGCAAGCAAGCAAGCAAGCTCGTGGCTCCTTACTGTGTCCCAGGGGAGTCTGCATACTGGACTCTGGGCCACCAAGGGCATCCTGACCTGCACTGCACATCACATACTGGGCATGCACAGCAGCATCCATCATCCACGGGAGAGGTGTGTGTGGTGTGAATGGGATCAGGCTCTGGCAGGTCCGGAGGGCACAGGCGAATGCCTCAGTAGGTGGCTCAGATGCCCATGATGCCTCCTTCTACTGCCTCTCCCTCTGCTTGCCCCTATGGGTCCATACCCTATGATCTGTTCACAGAGAAGGGATGGAACAGACCAGGTTTATGCACAGATCTGTGCGGCGGGCTGGTGCCAGGCGGTGGGTAGCTGCTGTTTAGCCCTGCACCCCTGTGGCCCTGAATGACGTAGGGATATCCTTCAGGTGGCTAAACATAGTCACCTGAGGGCCTCACTGAGGGCCACACCGTGGCAGCGGATCAGCCGGAACCGTGAGGCACAGGTGGGAGTGAGCCTGCTGTTTTCAAGAAGCGTCTGCCTGAGAAGGGCTCATCAAGAGGATGGGGTGCAGCTGGGACTGGGGGTGATTCCAAGTCTTCCAGGTAGCCGGGGTGGGTGTGGGCAACCAAGGGAGAGCCATTCCAAGCAGAAGGAACGACGGGGCAAGGCCAAGGAGGCAGGAAACGCCCGGACACGTCTTGAGAATGGCTGCTGGCGGGGAGGGGGCCTGGGCTGATCAGGTACCTGCGAAGCCAGACCGAGGGGTTGGCCTGTGTCCTGAGGGCAGGGAGCCATGGAGGGGTGCGAAGCCCGGAAGGACGCTCTGCCAGGGAAGCCTTCTGACTGC